TGTAAGCTTTTTCATCTCAAATTTCTATTTGTTCAACAAGAACAAGCTTTCAGGTTAGTCATTATAGGTGTTAAAGCAACTAACTAAATGCCATTATGAGGAAAACAATGAGGAAAATTTGGAATGTAAGACATTTTATAAAGAATTGACCTAAGCCAGCGTGATGGCATATGCTTGTAGGTCAGCACTCTTGGGAGGCTGAAGCAAGAGGATCACACAAGTGCCCAGTTTAGGCAACTTATGAAGATTTTGTCTCAAAATAAAAATTTTAAAAGGACTGGGGATATAGTTCACTGCAAAGGCCCTGAGTTTAATCCCAGTGGAAAGGGCCTAGATTCAATCAGTACTGGGGGTGAGGGTAGAGGTGGAGGCTATATGTCAATGCACATGAAAATAAGAAAAAAGATGTAAGAATTGTTATGGGTAAAAAGGTAAATGAATAAAAACCAAATATAATTCAAGAATATATTTGTACAAATTCCCATGGATAGCAAAGTGAACAAATGATAGTCATACCCTGGGGCATTGTCTGTAAGCCAATATAAAAAAAATTATTGTAACTATTCACAGACAACCTGGATGAATACTGATTGACAGAAGAAAAAAAAAGGATAAAATTATTTGTATGAAGTTCAAAAACGGACAACGAAGTTATGTACTGCAAGAATTTATACACAGGTAGTGCAACTATAACAAAGAGGCCAGGCAAGGTGATGCACACATGTAATCCCAGCATTCAGGAAGCCAAGAAAGGTGGCTTGCTGTGAGTTGAAAGCCAGCCTGAGATAAAAGTGAATTCAAGGCCAGCCGAAACTGCATAGTGAAACCTTGTCTCAAACAAAGAAACAAATAAAAATTCATAATAACAAAAAGGTGCAACAAAGAATGAATGACAAAATGTTACTAAGGGAGTCATTGAGGACACAGGATTTGCAACTAGAAGTAGTGAGTTTAATTTATGAAAGACTGGTGATGTTATTTCTTTTTCTTTTTTTTATTTTTTAAAACATTTATTTATTGTGTGTGTGTGTGTGTGTCCAGCTCAGCCCACCAGGGGGCGAGGCTGGCTGGCATGTGGTGCTGGGGGATCGAACCGTGGTCCCTGTGCTTTGCCAAGCTTGTTCCATGTAGGTGCTTTAGACCACTGAGCCATCTCACCAGCTCCCAAGGTGATGTTATTTCTTAAACAGATGGATGGGTATTTGTCTTACAACTAGCTATTAAAACAGTACTTGGATTACACGTTATTTGGTTTTTATGAATATGAAAATTTTAAAAAGATAATAAACTTTATGGTAATAAATTTGAAAGTATACATAAAATAAACCAACTTTTAGGAAAATATAATTTGTCAAAATGACTTACGTAGAAGTCTAAATTATCTTAATTATTATTTTTTTTTCTTTTCAAAGTTTTATTGATAAACA